TAATAGAAGTTTGTTCTCTAGTCACAAGACTAGGCAAAATTATAGGAATGAAAGAAAGTATTCATGTCCAGCTAATGATTCAGGCCAATTCTGACATTGATATTGTGTATGAAAGGCACAAACATTGGTCTCTGACCAGTGTCTGAAGATGCCAGTCAGTTTTCTGTGTTGCCTGAAAACACAAAAGTGTGTTGTCTTTTTATCAAGTCCAGTTATGGACTCATTCAAGCAAAGCGGAATTTGGTATAAATAAAGCTGCTTTTCTAATCTAAGGAAATTTTTTAACAAATACTTGTAAAGCAATACAAAATGGGGAAAAAATTCTGTAAAAAATATAAATACCTAGTCATTTTGAAAATGAAGAATGTTGACTAGAATATAACTAAGGAGTAAGTTGGAGTCTTTATCATAAAATCTATACAAGCCACACTTTATAATGGTGTTTTACATATAATTGACTTTTCATGCTTCAGTGAGTAAAGTGATTTGGGCTATCTTATTGGTCTTAAATTTTTAATTTTATGCATAGTCTTATGTTTCTTACTGCATTTCTACATTTTAATATCTTCTGAAAGCTTTGACTCGCCATTGCCTAATAAACAAAATGTGAGCACTGTTCTCTCAGTCAAAGCCCTTCATACCGTAAGTCCCACTGCTTTCTATTTCGACTGGACTCCAGTCGTTGTGTGTGTTTGTACATGCACACATGCTCACCCTACTCTCTTCCTTTATCAGTGCTTCACTCAGATTGGGATGAACTTGCTTTTTATTTTTACAACCAATTCTGCCTGCCTTCAAGTAGACCTGTTCCATGAAAATTTCCTTGAACCCCAAATTATTTTCAACACTCACGCCCACACACACAAAATTTCACCAATCACTTTTGTTTACTTGCTATCGTTTACCTTGTTTGTGTTGTCTTTTTTTCTCACATTACCAACAATGCCAAGTTTTTTTTTTAAATCTTCATTTCCCTTGTGTATTGTGGACAACACTAATATTACTGTTATTTACATTCAATATCATTATCCTTGCTGCTCATCTTTTACCATTAAATGTTGGGAAATGCAGAGATTATTGAGTAAATATTTAACTAGAAAATAAGACACCTAATCAACCCTAAAGCATAATATTTCCAGATGCTAAGCATGAACATTATTTACTTCCATTCAGAACTGATGGAAGAAGGAAAAATGTAATTATTTCTCCAACATGAACATTAAGAGGTTATGTTAATAGTTACATCCAATGCTGATGGTGTCAGTTTTGCCTTAATCCAGCAAGGTAGTGTGTATCAATCACATTCTCTGTTCTCCACTTTTTATCTCCATTTATCTCTGCTTGCACTGAATTTGACTGTGGAAGCATTACAGACAGCTGTGAATTTTTGTGTGATCTGATAAGTGTATATAGCAAAAATTGGGTATATTCATTTTTATCTTGGCTTACTTTACCTATCATTTGCCATCTCTATCTTTAGAGAAATGGTTGCCAATGCTAAATAATCTAGCATTAATTACTGTGAAAAAATAGTGATTATGAAACATGTATAGGATGTATGTAACTACTAAAGTAAAGGACTGAATAGAAAATCATCGTTTCAGGCCCCCTTCCCGATCTTCTCAGGGAAGGTATGCGAATGTTTCTTAAAACTGTTAAGGAATGTATTCTTCATATTTAACCCTAAGTCTACTGGAAGATACGGGGAAAGGCATTTCAGTCGACAAGGTAGTTTATGTACACATGAAATCAGGCATATGCAGGGATTGTGCCCGTCGCTAGCTTTACATCCAGTTTAAACCATAAAATTACAGTCAAATGTGTAATAGCCAGAAATAGCTTGAAACCTGATTTCTTTATCTCTTTGGTCTCAGTTGGCATATGTTCTTAGTCAATAGAAATGAAAGATAATTCTCCACTAATGAAGCAGTGAATCTAGATGATGATCACCATTCACTGCTGGGATTTTTACAATACCACTTACTGTCATTCAATCTGACAGTAACCTGAATCCACCAAACAACTCTTTCACCTGAATTTTGTATTTTGACAAATTTCAAAGATACAGAATGAACTGTATAATGAAAATGTGTGTATCCATCCTTCAGTTATATTTATTAGTTGTTTATATTTTGCCCCATTTGCTTTCTGTATGTGTATTTTCCTCAATTCTGTGAGAATAAGTTATAGACATTATTACATGACAGTCAGTATGAAGTATTTAAGATATTTTATGTAAGCATAGTACAGTTATTCCACTTTAGAAATTTAACGTTGGTGAAATGCTATTATCTAAATAGATAGTCTATATATGTATTTTCTCACTTGTCTTAGTAGTGTCCCTTATTTTTCCTGGGTCCAGGATTTAATCTAGTATCACATATGGCATTTAGCTATCATGTCGTTTTAAAAGCCTTTAATCTAGGGGAGTTCCCAGCCCGTCTTAATCTTTATGACTCTGACATTTTGAACAGTCCAGCCAAATTATTTTGCATTGTGCCTCTCAGTTTGGATTTATCAGATTGTCTTCTCATGATCTTAGTGGTCAATCCTTTTTGTTACTAAAAAAAAAGTCTTCCTAGGGAAATATTTGAACATGTAGACAGAGAAAGCAATATAATGTACATATTACTCAACTTTATTAGTTATCAATGCATGGCTAATTTTGTTTCATGTATGACTTCCCCTATGCCAGATTATTTAGAGGCAAATCCTATACCTTCTATCCTTTCAGCAGGAAATATTTCCACAGTTAATTCTAAAATATAAGAACATTTAAAAAAATAAACCAAAAACTTAAAACTACATCACAAAAAGAAACAACCTTCCTGGTGGAAATACATCATGCCACCTATGAAATATTCTTACCCAAAACCTGTTACCTCAGTATGATTAACCATCTAGATCTAACTACCAGTTTACTAGAAGTTTTGAGATGACAGGAACAGATAAAACAATACAGTGGGGATGCAGTCAGCAAATTCTAGAGTGTGGGATCTCTATAGGAGAAATGACATAAAAATGATAGGTACGAACCTGTGGATTGAAAATGACCTAAGAGGCACATCAGCCAAATACAATGTATAGTCTTTTTTTGGATCCTGATTTGAACAAACTATTTTAAAAAGACCAAGAAAAGAGAGACAATTTGGGAATTTGAATGCTAGTGGCTTTGTGGTACTGTTAAGCAAATATGTTAATTTTCAAAAGTCCTTACCTGTTAAAGATACATATGAAACGCTTGTGCATTGAATGACATTTGGGACTTGTTGCAAAATAGTGCAGGGATTGGCCCCAAGTTGATGGTTGTTGAAACTAGGTAATGAATGCTTAGCAGTCCATTATACTCTTCTCTCTGCCCATGCATGTGTTTGAAATTTTATGAAATGAAAAGTTTTTTTTTTAAGGTAAGGGCTAGTGGTAAATCTGTTTGAAAAATTTGGAATGTGTGCACCATTATTATTTTTTATCAAATATTCCCAGTGTTAGTCTCTTTCATTAACATAGTCAAGATTTAACTACATAATAGTGTGTCCTTTTTTGAATTGTTTGTGAGACTTATTTTTCAATTTTTGTCACTTTCATTTAAGGTAATGAGCATGGTGTCAGGATTTGCACCATTAATTTCTGCAGGTATCTTTTCAGCTACTCTTTCTTCAGCATTAGCATCCCTTGTCAGTGCTCCCAAAATATTTCAGGTAAGCGTTTTCATATTAATAAACTTTATTAAAGGGGGAATTAAGGTAATATTTTTCAATTTGTGGTTGTTGCTATTTTTAAATTATTTGCTTCTGTCCATCCCGTGTATATACATAATAAATACATATGCATGTATATCAAAACAAGTATATTTAATTTTATGTGTATGAATGAATTATGTAGATTTATATAAACATGTGCATTTACCTACTGTCAAGGTGTAGTCTATGAGTTGTCTTTTTAGAAATGATGATGGATTTTTGCTTTTTTTTTTTTTTGACATATATAGTATAAATTTTCAAGATGTCTTACAAAAGACTAGGAGTGCAGTGTAAGACCATAAATCAGAAGTAATAAACTGTCTTTGTCCCAGTAAGCATGACGTCAGCCTAAATATTTTACAAATGTTTAAATGCCTAATTTGTGCCACACATTGACTAGAATAGACATTATCTCCCTTTAATGAGCATTAAACAAACAGCTGATACTGATAGGAAATACTTTTTATTACTAAATCAAAGAAATGGAATGTTGATTCTACACCCTTGTTCTTACTGTTATATTTATAACCAGTGAGTACAGTAAAGGTGTAGAACATACTTCTTGAAACAGTAGTGTTCAATAATGTTTTAAGAAAAGTGGTTAAGTTTTATAATTAGGACTTTTATCTGCTTTAAGATCTGGACTTGGTTTTCTTAAAGTAGGTCATACCTATGTCATATTTACCAAACTTCCAACATTCTTTTATTTGTGTGTCTGCTTCTCTGATTTCTTCATAGATAAAAGAATTTCAGTATGGGAGTTGGGTAAGGCAGATAGTTCAGCAGTAGTCTAAACTAGTTACCCTTCCAGTCTTTGAAATGTTTTAATCTCCTTTCCAGTTTGTAGGTGAAGCAGTATGAGTCAGGAAAGAAAGTGGACCAGAAATTAGAAACTTGAGTTCCATTCCTGACTAACCTATTATAATTATAAGCAAATCTGTATGTCTAATTTTAATACATTTCATTAATATTTACACTTCTTTCATTAGGCTCTATGTAAAGACAACATCTACCCAGCTTTCCAGATGTTCTCTAAAGGTTATGGAAAAAATAATGAACCTCTTCGTGGCTACCTCTTAACATTCTTAATTGCTCTTGGATTCATCTTAATTGGTTAGTTATATAAATGATATGTTAATGTAGATTTTGGTGCATATGTAGTATTAGCTCTAAACATTTAATTATTATTAACAAAATGTTACTTTGCTTGGTATAGTAAGTTTCTTTCTAGTCAAATGAAAGAATGTTTATAAAGTACTGCAGATAATAGCATTTAATATATATTTGCTAAAATTATTGCCATCAGTAAGTTCCCATTAAAGCTAAAGGGTTTAGGTTCCTAGGTTCTTGTCCCTAAAACAAATACAATAATAGCATAAGGAAAAGGATTCCAGTGTTCCTCATGAAGGCAGTGCCTTTGCTGATTTATTTTTGGCACTTTTGCCTCTGATCACAAATTAGCTCCAGCGGGTCTTCCACTGCTAAGGAAGACATTGGACTTTTTAGTTTTAAAGGATTTTGTCTAAGCCCTGAGATTAGTTGACATTAAAAGGCTGATGATAGCACTAAGCATTGCAGGGCTATATGGAAACTAACTCTCGTGTGATGATGGGAAATGTGTATTTGGTATACATACTTTGGGAGAACAAGTTTGCAATGTCTGGTAAAGTTTCCTATGATCTAGCACTTCTTTTTCTAGGTATGTACCCTAAGGAAACTTGTATATATGCACAAAGAGCCATATCAAGAATGTTTCTAGTATCATTATATTATAATAGTGAAAAGTGGAAGCAACCTAAATCAACAGAAGAATGAAACTGCAGAATACTATGCAGCAGTAAAAAAATGAATAAATTTGGTTTTCATGTATCAATATGGTGAATTTCAAATATAATAAAAGATCAAACTACAGAGTGATACATATAGTAGATTATTTGTCTTTTAAAACATCCAAAACAGTACTATAAAATGCATGTAGACTATATATGTATAGTAAAACTGTGTAGTATGATTGGACAGAATATACCAAGTTTGGCATAGTAAGGTATAAAGGGAATTTCAATGGTATACCTAGGATTTAATTTCTGAAAAATAAAGTATAAGAAGCATATTTGGCAAAATGTAAATATTTATAAAGGTGGATATAGGGGTATTCATTATGCTGTTATCTAAAAGTTTGAAATAGTTCATAATTTTAAAAAGTTAAAAAATGTCTAATACATCAATAAATCTGCCTCACCTTTCTTTTGCAGCTGAACTGAATGTTATTGCTCCGATTATCTCTAACTTCTTCCTTGCATCATATGCATTGATCAATTTTTCAGTATTCCATGCATCACTTGCAAAATCTCCAGGTGATTTAACATTCTTTAAAACTTTTGTAAATTTATTAATGTTTTTGATTTCAGAGTAAATAAAACTCTGACACATTTTAAAAGATGGTGTGTGTGGGATTAGCTAATTAATCCGGAGTCTGCCTTTACAGTTAAATCAAATTGAGTCTTCAAAAATCTCTTTATCATGAAGTTCACTGCTAATATTGTTTCTAGTCTAAAAGAACTTGAGATAGTGTTAATCTCTAATTCTAACGCTGTAAAAGAATTATTTTACTGTTTTTTTAAATTGGTTTTTACTGTGTAGCAGATTTCCGTTTCAGTTCTAAGAAAATTATTATATAATAATTAACCTGTCTCAAAATGTTTTTAACACAATGAGTTCTGTAGAATTCTGACATTAAGGGGTCTCTATCAACTGAAAACGTATATAAGACCTTTGTTATAAACTGTGACAACAGTTGGAAATTAGGGAAGGAACTTGAAGAAACAAAAGCATTGTTCATTTTAAGCATCTAAAAGTCAAAACAGGAAAGATAAAGTATGGGAACTTTGAACACAAACACTTTAGCTTTAGTTTTTACTTTAAAAATGTTTTTTAATATATTACTGGAGATTTATTATTAACTGGATAAGATCTACAAAGGAACTTTTTATTATACTTATGAGTTACTTGGGTCTATTCAACTTTAAATAAACCTATTCGGTAACTATGTACTGATTACCTGCTGTATTCTAAAACATAATTTGCGGGTGATAATTTTGTCTTATTAGATTGATCCATATGAAATTGCTGATGTTTCACCACTTAAATTTTTTTTAGTTTCAATACTGAACAAAGCAAATCTGAGAAAAGGGGTGCTATTCTTTACTCTTACAAAATATTTAGACATTCAAATTGTCTTTGTTTTGCAATTACTAGTGATATGTCCATATTTGACATATCGAGAGAGGAGAT